AATAAACTTCATATAGACAACAATGTCTATATGTCTCACTCCATGTCCAAGCTCTAAGGACATCCTTTCCTCATGAGGAGCACTGCTACTTTTTTCTTTTCCTTCCCTTGGGAAGCCCTGGGAGAACAACCTGGAAAAGTGACTTATAGGCAGGCTTGGCACAGTGGGGGTCGAACATTGCAGAGTCCTAAGTATACATAGGGCGGCCAGAAAGAGGGGTTTAGGTTTGACTGATTTGCATTTTCCTGCACCCCGCCCAGCCCCACAAACTCTCCCATATTATAGGAAGGTCCACGGATGGAAGGGTGCCAGATTGGAACCCTCTAAAGCATTAGGTCTGCTCTTATCTGGATATAAGTGTGGTGCCATGTTTGTATAGACTTTAGTATTAGATAATATTGGTTAGATTGATAAAGGAAGTTTAATTATGTTAATGGAATACAGTGAGGAGGGAAGAAACTGTCTGGATAACTTATTTATTTACTTAGTTTACTTAATTTTCACATTAGCTCTGTGTGTTGAACATCATGTATTCTTGCATTTTCACTAAGAATCCATTATCTGTGGTTAGCATGCAGTTTCTTTTATAGTTTACAATATTTTCTAACCTGATCTAAATATTTTGTTGTCATTGATTTCTTAGCTTAGAAATTATAATTTGTACATATGTTAGTACTCCTAATTTTAACCTAATGGTTTATACCTTTAGATACTTCTGTCTTCATTAGAAAGTACTACTAGTATATCATCATATTTATGAAGTTTAATAGTGTGACTAAAAAAAGACTCTGGTCTTTTTTCAAAATCTTACTTAATATTGTAGAACTTTTTAAAGTTCACTTCAGAACAAGAGCACTTATAAATGAAAATAGCTCTGCTAATTGATCTACTGCAAATTCATTGTGAGATATTCCTTATTTTGCTAGTATGATTTTGTCATACTTATTTTCTGGCCTTGTCGATGGTAGATTTATACTTTAAATGATTAATTGGTATAGCTTGTATGCTAAGAAAGGTGTTCAAACTGAGAGCTTAACCTTGAGAAATGGTCTGTACCTATTAACATTTCGAGAAGAATGGAAGAGAGTCAGACCGTGGACGGAAAGCATCAGAGTGATATGACTTGAACAGCAAAATGTGAGCTGGGCTTTAATATATTTTTAAAGACGATTGTGGTACAGGCAGGAAATACTTGCCTTTACTTACCATCTCTCAAAAACGGAAGTACAGGAATTGCCTTCAGACTCCTCGGTGGCAATTTTAAAAGCACTGAGTGAGTGCCCAGGGTCTGAGGGAGAGTGTGGCCCAATATTGATCACTGACACAGAACACTAACGTGGGAATGCGTGTCTGTCAAGCTCTTGAGAAGTTTGTTGCCAATAAGAGAAAAAGATGTCATGCAGAACAGTACTTCATGTCACAAGAGATGCATTTTCACTTGAATACTGATATCTCCGCCCGCGCGCGCACACACGTGTGTGTAAATACATTTATTCACTTAAGTTCAATTATTTTGCTTTCCCTCAAAACTTAGATGTAATTGGGTTGACACAAATTAGTATATTACAATATTTTTATTATGAGATGCCATTTAATTTTTGAGACTGTGAATGA